CCACCGTACGTCTCCATAGTGAAGCCAGAACAACATGCTCATGGTTGCCACAGACATATAACAATGGCATATCCTCAGAAGATATTTTATCACATAATAGATATGAGAATTTAACATTTCGCCTGTAGCATTTTGAAAAAGACAGCAGCACACAGTCTTGATAATATCATTCTAAGTATGTACATTTGCTTAACAATCCATATATTCATTTTATATTTATAGAGAGAAATTATATATGCATATATACACACTGAATCGACTTCTCTTTGGTTAACTTTTGCTATCCAAATCTAAGTGCTCTTAATTTTACTACTAAGAACATTTATACAGGTTACTCCTGAATACCTGATAAACACTAAAAATTGTTTAGCATGAACAAATTATATAGTCTCACTAGAGCAGTAATGGTGAACCTTTTGAGCTCGGCGTGTCAGCATTTTGAAAAACCCTAACTTAACTCTGGTGCCGTGTCACATATATAAATTTTTTTATATTTGCAACCATAGTAAAACAAAGACTTATGTTTTTGATATTTATTTTATATATTTAAATGCCATTTAACAAAGAAAAATCAACCAAAAAAATGTGTTCGCGTGTCACCTCTGATACATGTGTCATAGGTTCACCATCACTGCACTAGAGGCATGATGCACAAAATTTGTGCACTGGGGAGGTCTCCCTTAGCCCAGCCTGCACCCTCTCCAATTTGGGACCCCTCGGGGGATGTCCGACTGCTGGTTTAGGCCCAACCGCCTAAATACCTTGGATCACCCTGTGGGGACTGCTGGCTCCCAACTGCTCACCTGCCTGCCTGCCTGATTGCCCCTAACCACTCCCCTGCCAGCCTGATCAACACCTAACTGCTCCCCTGCTGGCCCAATCGCCCTCAACTGCCCTCCCCTGCAGGCCTGGTCACCCCCAACTGCCGTCCCCTGCAGGCCTGGTCGCCCCTAACTACCCTCCCCTGCCAGCCATCTTGAACTGTGGGCGCTGCCATTTTTGACGGCGTGGCAGTCAATTAGCATACCTCCTCCTTATTGGCTGTGGGCACTGCCATCTTTGAGAGCAGGGCAGTAATTAGCATATTCCCTCATTATTGGCTGTGGGTGCCACCATCTTTGTGATGGCATGAGGTTCAATTAGCATATTCCCTCTTTATTAGATAGGATTATTTTCTTTATTAGGACACTAAGAGTATATATCTTTCCCTAACTGATTAAAATATATAACCTCCTTATTGGCTGTGGGCACTGCCATCTTTGAGAGCAGGGCAGTAATTAGCATATTCCCTCATTATTGGCTGTGGGTGCCACCATCTTTGTGATGGCATGAGGTTCAATTAGCATATTCCCTCTTTATTAGATAGGATTATTTTCTTTATTAGGACACTAAGAGTATATATCTTTCCCTAACTGATTAAAATATATAAAAATGTCACTTGAGAGAACTAATTAGGTTTCTGATATGAAGAAATAACATAGTTTTCTAGCTGAGTAAAAATTCACCATTTTCACTTAATCTTAAAAATATGTTCTGTGTATATAATTTAGCACAGCTCTAATGAAATAACAATTCCACTGGAATGTGGTTTTAGAGGGAGAAAATGAAAATAAAAGTATCTAACTACTTAAAAATTGATGCAGAGTAAAAAAATATGCACTTAAATATAGTTTCACAAAAATCAAAGTCTATGAGTAGATCTTTTAAAATTAGAGACTTGTAATTAATTTCCAATTAAATATATTACTAATCTCCTTTTAGTTTATTAGGATTTTTAATCTGAAAAGTATTTACAAATGACCACCCATAAAAATAGATAAATAACTAGTCAGGATAACATACAGACCATTACTTTTCATTTTTAGTCATTTATTCACTCCTCCAACATATTTACTAAAAGCTAAGTGCTACATATTTAGCTATGAGGATTAATTTGAGTAATAAAAAGAGACATGCATCATTTCCTCAAAGAGCTTATCATATGGAGGAGAACCTACACTAAGTCAAATATAATATAGAAGAAAAAGTGATGTGCTATGGGAGGAAAACTTAAATTGTTAAGGCAACTCAAAGCAAAGAGAGATCAACTCTGTCCAGAAAATGGGCAGTGGTCATAATGGGAATCCCTAACCACAGCATTCATTGGGAACCTCTTATGAGTCCTAAAGTTAAAATAAGTGAATGGATAGCTCATATTACAAAATCTGAACACATTAATTTCAATAATAATCATGATTCCAAAGATCTCTCCTAGTGAATCCCCCTTTGCCCATTTATTGAGATATAGGAGATACACTGCAAAGAGTTTTAAGCCAAGGAAGGATAAGATCATATTTGCATTTTAAATGGCCCTCTCTGAGGCAGTGTGGAGATGGAAATGTCAGAGAACAATATTGTATACAGAAAGGCTCATTAGAAGGTACAAAGAAGGGTTAATGTAACATGCCAGAGACAACTATCCTTACAAGGGCCTGTTTGCAAGGTTGGCCCTTAGCTGGCATGTGTGAATTTTGACTTCAGGATAGTTCCCATCATTCTCTGGTAAGAATAGCTAACTGTATAAACTACACAAACAGTAAAGTTTATACTGAACACATGATTTCCTTCTGGGAAACTGGAATCTTGGTATGCATTTAGGCAGGTGTCTGTGTGGTCACTCTCCAACAAAACCCCTGGGCATAAGTCTCCAATGAGCTTCCCTCATGGTCAACATTTTACCCATGTTGTTACAACTCACTGCTGGAGGACTTACGCATGTCCAACATGACTCCATTGGAGAAGGACTCTTGGAATCCTGTGTTTGGTTTCCTCTAGAGTCCAGCCAATGCCTTCCACCTTTATTGATTTTGTTTGCTATCTTTTCACTGTAATAAATCATGGCCATCAATAGACCTATATGCTGAGGTTTTGAATCCTCCTAGATAAACTTTAGACTTGAAGATGGTCTTGAGGACCCTGAAACAGAGGGCTTCATCTTCTCAGAGATGAAGGAGGTCTGAACTAATGCAATCATAAAAGGGACAAGAACCTCATAAAAAGTAAGTGGCTAAAAGCAGGAACATTTGATCCAAACAGAATTAGCTGCCGATTTCAGCTCCACCACTGACTAGCCATGGGCAAGGCATGTTTTCCTTCATAACATATATAGGTGTCTAGCACACAGTTGGATGTCCTAACCTGAAGCTAGCCATGAGATCTGTAAGAGACTAACATTTTTGCAGTCAGACTTTATCAGTATTGAGCCCATGTAAAGGTAAAAGTCCACCTAGAGAGATTGTCTGTAAGTGAGAAGAGTAAGCCCACATCTAAATCACAGATAATATTAACATTTAGGGGCAGGAAGTAAAAGAGGAACCCAAGATAGCATTAGAGCAGCTATTTTTGAAGTGTGGTTCCTAGACCAATAGGATCCGCATCACCTGGAAAATTGTTTAAAATATGCATTTTTTTTGTGCATCACCAAGACCTACAGAATAAGAGATATTGGGCCCAGTCATCTGTGATTTAACAAACCTTCCAGATGGTTCTGGGACATGCTATCATTTCAGAACCACAGAAATAGTGGGTAGAAATCTGGTAAGTCAGAGTCGAGGTAAACAGCTGGGTAGCTGAAGAGAACCAGGCCAACAATGTGCGTAGTAGTGGATAAGAGAAGACAGCCAAGGGATAAATTAGCCATGTCAATAGCAATAGAAAAGCCCATTAAGACAGGGACACTGATGTTCTCATTGCATTTGGCAATGTGGCTTTCCAAAGAATACTCTCACTACAGTGGTAGGGGCCAAAATCAAATGACAAAGGGTGAAGAAAAAAGAATGGGAGAAAAGGAGATAAACAGAGAACCTACTTCTCTTTCAAAAATTTTAAGTGTAAAAGACCAGGATTGGATATTAATCTGATGCAATCATGGTAGTTTTTGTTGTCGGCATGGGTTTCTTGATGTTTAATGTATGAGAAACTTGGTCACAGCAACAAAGAGAAAGAAGCTAAGAATACATAGAGGAAAGAAAATAGGTAACCAGTAGAGCAATGTACAGGACATACACAAAAAAGAATATGTACACAGGTGAAGTGAAGAGAGGAATAACAGGAAGTGCTGGGGAGTTCAACTAAAGTGTAAACCACTCATTCACAGCATAGCCATATTTTTTTCCAAATTGCATTTTTCCTTCCAGGTTGGGAAGATATAAAGCATAGATTGAATTGTAATAATTTATTATGGTTCCTGGCACCTAATACAGTAGAGTCAATAAATATCTCATAAAAGAAAAATTTGTTAAGAGGGTAGATCTCATATTGTGTTCCGTATAACAAGAAGTAAAATAAAATAATGAAAAAATGATATAATAATTCATTCCCCTGAGACGAGAGAGAGAGAGAGAGAGAGAGGTGGGGGGAGGGGAAAAGAAGGGAAGGGGATGGAAAGCAAGGAGAGAAAAACTGATGGATGTGAGACTGGTGCTGAAACAGTTCCGTCCAGCTCACCAAGGCAGAACGGGTACCTCTCTTATCAGTGCTTCTTTTCTGGAGAGCCGGTGGTTAAAAGTTACCAGCACACCACTAGGAAGTGCTAAGAGGTGGCAGAGCAATGAGGCAAGGAATTAGCTGCTTAATGTTTACATACTCTGGATTCCATCAGCAAAATTAAGAAAAGAAGAACTAACACCAATATTAGGCACCTATAAACTAGGTCTCAGAAAGTATTTTTAGCACTGTGCAGTCGCACAGGGATTTATGAACTCTATAACTTATTCCTATGTTTTCCATACTTGCCTTATCAAAATCATTTTTTAATTTCTTTATTGATTAAGGTATTACATATGTGTCTTTATCCCTCCATTGTCCCCCCACTCATGCCCTCACTCCCCTGTTGTCTGTGTCCATTGGTTAGGCTTATGTGCATGCATACAAGTCCTTTGGTTGATCTCTCCCCCTAACCCCCCCCCTCCACTACCTTCCCTCTGAGGTTTGATGTTCTGATCAATGATTGTCTGTCTCTGGATCTGTTTTTGTTCCTCAAAATCATTTTGATCTCTGGTTAATATTTATCTATCTATCTATCTATCTATCTATCTATCTATCATCTATCATCTATAGTCATGGCAGTTTTATTGTCAAGATTGGTTTCATTGATGTATATATTCTATGTCTCACTCCAGGGCTAGTAAATCAGAATCTCTAAAGAAAGGACATGGAGCCGAAACCAGTTTGACTCAGTGGATAGAGCGTTGGCCTGCGGACTGAAAGGTCCCGGGTTCAATTCCGGTCAAGGGCATGTACCTTGGTTGCGGGCACATCCACAGTAGGAGATGTGCAGAAGGCAGCTGATCGATGTTTCTCTCTCATCGATGTTTCTAACTCTCTATCTCTCTCCCTTCCTCTCTGTAAAAAGTCAATAAAATATTTTTTAAAAAAAGAAAAAAAAAGAAAGGACATGGAAATCTATATAATCTACATAATTCTTATCAGCAGGCAAATCTGGAAAATACTAGAGCAGATCACACTGTTTCCACAGGCCCTTCTTTGGTTTACTAGTCTGGATCACTGGTGTAAGAAGACCCAGAGATAAGTGCAATTCAAGAATAAAAACTTGGTACTAGATAGTAATATATGTTATAGTTCTTGGTGACATGAAATAGGACCGGCCTACAAAAGTCAGAGAGAAGTTGCAGAGACTCGGGACCATTCTCAGCATTATCCTTTCGTCAATGATCAGGACGTTGCAAACACTCCCAGCATGGCCCATGTAATAATTTCTACTTTACAGCGGAGGAAAAGTCTTGGGTGGAAATAAGAAATCGGCTTAGGGTCTCATCAGGGGAACATGGTAGACAGAATTTAAACAACTGGATTGTCCCTTGTTCCAGCCACTTTGCCAGGCTGCCTTTCTATCCTTTGATAGATTACAGTTTTAGAAAACAAATACCAATATTGGCAATGATTATGTAAAAGTATTGTATTTGACACAGATACTAAAACTAATCAAGTCTTTTTTCTCCCTTTAAGTTATTCTCTAAAGTAGCTAAAGAAAAAATAATCCTGTCAGTCTTTTTAAAAAATATATTGTTTTGTTGGTTTTAGAGAGAGGAAAGGAGAGAGAAAAAAATCAATGATGAGAGAGAATCATTGATTGGCTGCCTCCTGCGCTCCTGCACTCCCCACACTGGGGATTGAGCCCACAACCCGGGCATGTGCCCTCACCAAGAATTGAACCATGGCCTCCTGGTTAATAGATCAATACTCAACCACTGAGCTACACTGGTCGGGCTCCTGTCAGTCTTATTAATCATTTGTAATTATTTACCATCTTACTTGGTTAGTTGGAACTAATAGATGGGGAACTAATAGCTGGGAAAGCTAAAATTCTCTCTCTCTCTCTCTCTCTCTCTCTCTCACACACACACACACACACACACGCACACACACACGCGCACACACACACACACACACACACACCACCTCACACACACAACAAATGGAGACGCATTTCAGCACATTAAATTCAAATCTTTAGCTAAATAATTTGCAAACCAAGAAAAACATATTATGCCATACTAGATCCTATAGGAAGAATTTAGACCTAACTCTCAGAGCTTATGAAAACTTTTATTTAGGGTCACTCTTGTCCAGCTAAATAATAGAAACAAGAATTTATCAGAAGCAAAGATCTCTGTTAGTGAAGAGCCACGTTAGAAAACTTTGCAATTCTGCAATAATTTCTTATATGTTATACATTCTCTAGATGAGATCAAGTAAATGTATTAACTTTAAATATCTGATTAATCACCTATAGATGAAAAAGGCTCTAAGAGCAGATCCCCTGATATCAGAATTATGTAGATCATCACTGGTCACTGGTCCAGATCCTTACCTAACTGCTGATTCTAATTAACTTCTCCTGGATTGTTCCCTCAGGAAAGCCTAAAAATATAGCCTACTACCCTATCTTTAAAAAAGAAATATTCCATTCCAAAATTAAAATGCCATTAGCCTATAAAACATCTTATAAATCTCTAGGCCATCTTTCTTCATAAAGAAATTGCTGAATAACACCTGTCAATCAGGCAATTTATACTATGAAAATTTGAACATGACTCACTATTATACCTATTTTATGCTGAATCTCACTTTTAAAAAATAACTCACGTGGGTATTTCACTTATTTAATACTTAAGGCATTTCCTTAAGAATAGTATTAAAGCAACAGTACAATGTTTAAAAACCATTTCAACTGAGAGAACAAAAATTTTGGTAATTGTTGAGTAGTGCACAGACTTATGTTAATGGTATATTATGGCCAAGAAAAACAAATTTACCGCCCCCCCCCAAAAAAAACTCACACCAGAACTCATACACCAACGAAACAAATAAAAAACTAGAGACATGCTCTTTGAAGATGTCTGTATATTCTATTATAACATTGCATTCTAACATAATAATTTGAAACTCATGACTGTAAAAAGACTAAACTTTCTGAAAGAGGTAAAAAATGTGTTCTACTACAGCAACCCTGAGATAATAACCAAAATTGTTCTAAGGTCTTTAAGTGTGTGTGTGAAGTTTGCACTTGTGTCTTAACCCATTTACTCATCTCAGCATCGGGTGCCCCGTAGAAAAAAGGGGAGGAAGTTTTCACTTCCATGCTCCATCCATCCGGCTTACTGCCAACTTCCAAGGCAAGTTTCTCTCACCTGATACAACAGGCATCCTCTGAAACCACTCTACTATGGCAGAGTCATACTGAATATTTACACCAACACACTGCTATAGAACTGCGAATTGGGAAATATTTCATAGTCTGTTGTGATTTTACTTATCCTGGACTGTTCTTTTTCACTTGTCCAGCTAATCTAAATGCAATTCCCTATTTAACCTTCTACCTCTTAGGGACTTAAGAAATACATCCAGAGGGCCAGGTTGAAAAATAACATAGTTTGTGGCCCTATTCTCAAAAGAACTCTGGAAGGCTGATGGTGTCTTGTCCATCTCAAGATTAACGAGAAATTGATTCTTGGGTACCTTTCAGTTTGTCTATCCCCAGAGGCTCAGCCAAGGTTCTTAGTCTATCAACCTCTGTCACAGCCTTCAGATAATGAACACTGTCTGTGGGATCAGGGGCTCCCTCATGAAGAGATGTTAGGTCTCCTTTCTCCTCAGTCACAGCTGCTGTTGCTGTGGCTGTATTATTAGGAAGAGGAAATCTGTTCACCTCTCTGGATTCTGTACCAGCAGCAACTGTGGAGAAAGGAAACATGTGATACTAATGGAAACCTGTTTTTAAAGTTTTTTTCCTTGCATTTCACTGAAATGGCTAGCATGTATCTATTTCCTGCCAAATAGTGTTAAATGTTCCCATGCATTATCTCAACTAATCCCTACTCCACCACCAAAAAAACGAAAGAACTATGAAAACAGTCCTGTTACTATGTCCATTTTACACTTAAAGTCATTAAGGTTTAGAGGGGTTATACAACTAATCCAAGGAATAGTGGTGTTCAAATATGCACCCAGAGGACTAAAACCAGAACCTAATAACTTAACAAGTATGTTATCTGTACTGAAAGGGAAATACTGCTCTGGTCATTTATGTAATTGTCCGTTTTATTGTGTTGAAATTCAATAAGCCATACTCCTTTTTATTAGTCTGTTTGTTTGTTTTTAATACTGAGATGGACACAATGAGTAAAATATAAAACTTAATTCTCTTTCAAAATGACTTTTAAAACATTTGGATAATTTATATTTATAAGCAATTCATAATTTTATTTCAATTTTTAAAATCCAAGCAATAAAAGCAGTATATAGTAACCTTTAAATCTTACCTACCAGAGAGTTGCTAAATATTAAGTAATTTTAAATACCAGGTTTAAAGGTGGAGTTGTAAATATGTTGTAACTATGTACTTCAACATGGAGCAAATAATGAGTTAATTACACTGTTTTATCATATTCAACATAAAACAAAAAAGATAAAGTTGGATTGATTATCAAGACAACCCTTTAAAAGATTTGCATATCTCCATGGAGAAAAGTCTATGGCTCTCATTAATTGATTAAGAAGGATCCAAAGGGAGAAGTAGATAGAATCACTCTTGTAGACAGGAGGGAGCTTTAGGAAATAAGCCTAGTTTCCAAGAAAATTCCAAGAAAGAAATTTTGTTCTTTGTTTTCCTAATGCTACTCTTTGGGGCTTTGTGGGAATATCTAGCACAAACCCCAAATAACAAGATGTTTTGGGCCTTATCAACTAATGTAAACAGATATAAATAATTCCATAACTTCTATGTGAAAGAAATAAAGGGATTTTTTTTATTTGTGGCATTTTCAAATCTATATATATGAAAGCTAATATTCCTTTGGGGCATAGTGGGAATATCTAGCACAAACCCCAAATAACAAGATGTTTTGAGCCTTATCAACTAATATAAACAGATATAAATAATGCCATAACTTCTATATGAAAGAAATAAAGGGATTTTTTTTTTATATGTGGCATTTTCAAATCTATATATATAAAAGCCTAATATTGAAAG